ATAAACTTTTAACAGTCATTCACTCATGAGCAAAGATGGCTGATTTCAGATCACGTAATTCTGGGAATCCTTGCACCAGTTATCAATGATGAATGGGAATGCTAACAGATCTCCAGGTACTTTAAGTGTTGTGATGCTTGTGGAAGTTTTTGTCACTAACTAAATGATATATTTGCTGTGTATTTACATGGTAGCTCTCTATTGTATATATTTTGCAGTGCACGTATATGATTAAAACATGAGCATTAGAAGCTTCCTTTATCTGTTGAAATATGCGCACAGAGTATGTGCGTGTGAATGTTTTGTGATTTGATGTTTTTTGTGTTACCCCGTGGTCTCTCCTCTGGCTGTTCTTCCAGCTTCTGGCTGTCGGACTGAATGTGGGTCAGTTATGCTGCGACAGGGTCTTATGGAGGACGTGTGCACTGGGTTTATAGCTGTGTTTCCAAGGCCCACGCCTGTACGTTCTCGTAAATAGTTGGTCTACGACTAGTCCAGTGTCCGCGCCTCAGGCGGCAAAATACCATTAGATCAGTCTGAGCAAGCAGGCTACTGAGATAATGGAGATGAAGTGTTCAGGGTTAGCTGGCGTCCGTCTCCCATGATGCCCTGTTGTGCCTTCTCTTATGATGTCACAAAGGCTGTAATTACTCACAGAGGAGATGGAAAGACTTGTCAACCAACTGCGGGTCGATGCTGAGTTTATGATCCGCTCTGTGAACTTACGATGACATAAACTGATATAATGAGGTGGGGGAATCTACTTCCTGTCTTGAAAGGAGTCCGAATAGGATGTTCCAGCCTTTTCCTCTCCCTACACAGAGTGACGGGACACGTTGACTCTGTGTGTCCATTTAAATGAGATGGTAAAAAGACTTCAGTCATGGGAGAACTGACTGCAAATAAACAACTGAATTCACAGACTTCTGGGCTATTGTTTTACCCTGTACATCCTGTTTTCCTTTAGGTTTTAATTCCAATTTAGTTGACTTTTAAGTGCTTGCATTGTCGTATAACCCAGTATGCTGTATTTTATTTGCCCGAGATGTAATGCATACATACATCTCTCTCAGTTTAAGCATTATGGGTGATGAGACAGGATACAATCACCTTGGCTCTGCTTTTAGCATTCTGCCCCAGCGTTGTGTACTGTGGTCTGGCTCCCAGCCCAACGTTCCCCACTCACATCGACGCTGCCGCATGGCACACTGGATTGACTATCAGTTGAGCCCTGATTGTATATTGATTCCCTGTCCGGATGGGTTTAAGCAGTGTTCCTGTTTCTCTGTGTGTGTATGTATTGGTTCTGTTGACTAAGCTGTTAAACTGCAGGTAACACTTTCACAATCATCCTCGTCTCACTTTTGTTGTTTCTTGTCTCGCTTCACAAACCAGATCGAGTCAGTTCAGTTCAGTTTTTTTAATGTGTGTGAGTAGGCATGGGCCGGTATGAGATTTTGACGGTATGATAACCTTAAGCAAAAATATCACGGTATCACGGTATTGTCGTTACAGCTCTAAAATGTTATTTTAAAATGACTGGGTACAAAAAAAAAAAAAACTTTTCCGCTGAACACAATATATTTTGTTTTTGAGCAACATACAGAATATTAGGAACAGTAGAATTTATTTTTTCTTTGATTTGTTTCCTAAAAAGAAGAAAAATAAAGACTGACATCTTTATTTAACCTAATTCTGTAATTAACGAGTTGCTTGCAATAAGACAAAAAACGGCCGGTTGCCAATTGCGTAAGTTCCAGGGAAAGCTCCTTAAGTTCGGCCGTCATACACGTGACTGACCGCTCGCTCGCGGGGGGGTTGTGTTACTCTCTACACTGCACTCAACCTGAGGGATTCCTACCCTTTCAGTCTTTGAGGAGACATGAAAAACAGCGCATACCGCAAGAACGGTATAACGGAAAATATTAGTGGTTTTGAAACCGTGAAATTTTCAAATCTCGGTATACCTTGAAACCGGTAATCGGCCCATGCCTATGTGTGAGTCAATAAAGTACTTTACAATAAAGTTCAGTTTGTTAGTTGGGCCCCACATTATATTAAGTGGCCTTAACTACTATGTCCTTACATAAAAAATTAAGTACAATGTACTTATTGTGTTCTATGGAACAGCAGCGATACAGCGTTTCCTTGGTTACCGCTGTAAACAAAGCAGCACAGCGCTGAAACACTGCTTTAATATGAACTATACAGACTGAGACGAGATTAAAAGAAAATACCACGTAAACTTTTCTGAAGACAGTCAGTTCCCCTCAGAAACGCCTTCATATAAACCCCCAAATCAATATTGAGGATTTTTGAAGATCTGCCTGCTACAGTATTTTTCTCTGTGCGTCCATCTTCAGCGTCTCTGGCCTGTGTTAACGGGCGTTTACAGACTTCATATTTTCACATAAATTACATTTTGGAAAACGATTGCATTGCAACGCATCTCTCTCGCTCTCTCCCTACCGTTAAGTAACTTGTGCATTGTTTTACTTACTTGTTTTTGACATATCCGACTGAACTACAAACTTTCCAGTGATGTCTGTGAGAAAGATATATTCACTCGACAAGCTCGTGCATCTGCGCCAGCCCGCGCGCTCAATCCACTCAGCGTGCTTTTTTTATCAGCTCGCGCACTTCAGCTATACAGGCGTTAATACTGAATGTTTAATATTATATTCATTGCATACATATACTTCGTAGTAGACATCCTTAACTCCTTTCTGCTGTCTGTTGTTCTGTTGTCGGTGTTTTTTTGTCTGAATATGGCGCTTATCACATGCTGTGTGGTATCGGCGTTTGGTATCGGGGCATTTTAACGAGTACGAGTACGAGTACAGGAGACCAGTATTGGGCCCGATACCGATACCAGTATCGGTATCGGTGCATCCCTATTAATTACTCACCCTCATGTTCCAAAACCCGTAAGAACTTCGTTCATCTTCGGAACACAAATTAAGATATTTTCGATGAAATCCGAGAGCTTTCTGACCCAGCATAAACAGCAATGCAACTACCACGTTCAAGGCCCAGAAAGGTAGTAAGGACATCATTAAAATAGTCCATGTGACATCAGTGGTTCAATTTTATGAAGCTACGAGAATACTTTTTGTGTGCAAAGAAAACAAAAATAATGACTTTATTCAACAATTTTATTCTCTCTTAACCATTCTCTTTGAGAACTTTTAACCAGTAAGATTGCACTGTGCGCAGGGATACTGCTTTGTGACAGTTTTAAATGAATTATTCTTCAATTCTCATTTTTAAATGGAAGGCCAATGTGCTGCTGTGCTGTCTGGGAATAATTTCATATAGGCTAAGTGAATTGTTCATATTAAAATATTTGTGGTTGTTTTCCATGTGACTTTAATAAGGTGACTTTAATAGTTGTGCAGCAGTCAGGTGAGCTTTCCTCGTATGAAATGTGTTTGTGGATGCAGCTGTAACGGAGGGAATATAATTACAGTATTGATTTTACCGTTATTGATTTTTACTTTTTGCTGGCTTTTTTGCACCCCAACATAATTTTTTTCTGTGTTGTCTGGCCAGACTGTGGCTGTCGTGGGATCAGCACTGCAGTAAAACAGCTGGCACAAAGATGCATGTAATCATGGGCTTCATTTGACATGTTTCAGTTTGCAGGTGTGAGTATATATACATACGTATAGTTTTAAAAATTGTCCAGCTAACAATCCAATATTTTATATATAAATAATATATTTAAAAAATTATATCCATTTATATATAAAACATTGGAAAAATCTAAAAATAGAATGCATTAAAAAAATCTATAATATATTTACGTTTTACTTATGGATGAATGTGACCAGATATTGTAAGAAAATATCCCAAGAATGTGGAAAACATTCATAATAAAGAAAGAGTTATTGTGTACCCGCAGATGTTAAAACATTCTTCTTTGTTTCCGTTTTTTCATCTTGCATTTTTCAACTCCCTGTTTTCCTCCTTGAATAATGTTGACAGTTTTTGCACAGATGGCAGATGCATTTTGTCAGACCTTTAGACATTAGTCATGTGTCTGTTTGTGGGTCGCCTCATTCCTCTGTGTGCACGTGCACGCCGTGTGTTGAACACACAAGTCCTGCTAAATCGACTCGATCACAGTGAGGAAACTGCAACTTGCAGTTCATTAAGAAATTAATGAAGTCTTTTTACCCTGCAGTCAAGTAATACAAGTTCATAGCATTCCTTTTACTTCAGCTTGAAGCAAGACAGAGCATTAACAACTGATTTATATAAGGGAATTTTAAGGAGGTGGTGCAGTTTTGTTCTCTGTGTTTTTAAACCGATATTGCAGTACCTTCCTACCCAAACCTTTTTGTGTTTTTATATTTTATATTCATTTCATATTCTGAAAACAATTGTACCATCTTCCACGTACACACAGTTTTCCTTCTCGTTCCTCATGGCAGACCTTCTCCTATGACTCACCTGAGCGTGAAACCGTCTGTCCTTGGACACCCCGGCACCCTCTAATGCACCCCAAGGCCCTATTGCCACCCCCCATTCCCCCTGCAGACCCCCAGCCCACTCACTCCCTCTGGCACCCACATACAAGAGGGAGGGCCGCTGCTCTGGACTCTTCATCTCTTTCATTCCACAGATCATTTAACATTTCATTACTGCAGCCAAGCGCAACCTCAGTGTCAAGATGACTTTGGTAATGTTCAAAACACATCTTTGTTCCGGCAGCATGTTGCGAGAAGAATACCAGCATAAGATTGCCTCTCCTTCCACTTTGGATCATCATTTTATCTTTTTATAAATAATATGACGAAATATGTTTTACCCTGTTCCTTTGTCTGTCTTCCTGCATTTTTAAACAAAATTATTTTGATGCAGATGATCTGTTTCCACTTTGAAATCCAACAAAAATGTCACTGGAGGCTGTTTTTAGCCCCTCTCAGTTAAAACAGCCAATTTCAATACTTGAAAATCCTGATTGAGAATATCTTTTATGATCTTCCTTCCTCTAGTGCGAAGAGGCCAGTGGGCATGGGGAGCATCCTGAATCGCATCGGAGCCAAAAAGCAGAAGATGAGCACTTTGGAGAAGTCTAAGATGGACTGGGATGCCTTTAAAACAGAGGAGGGCATTTCAGACGAGCTGGCAATCCATAATCGAGGCAAAGAAGGGTATGTTTAAGCCTCATTAGTGACCCAGACAAACACATTATCTCCCATTAGTGTCTCACACTAGCTTCTGAGATTTTCATCAGAGCTGAATAAATATCATTAAGTGTCTTAAGTGCTTAAAGCCACAGTGTGCTGGCATATTATGTTTCGGTGCAATTTTTATAATACATTACAATTCATTAATTATGCACTGATGTAGCGATGAGCATTTGGAGAAATTGTGTAGTGAGTACAAAAAAGTAGATTCTGTTCTGGCCAAATTATGAGTCATTCCTTACCGTTTCTCTGTCAGAATATCTGCACCGTCTCTTGTTGGTTTTTACTGCATACGTACATGTGTAGGAGAGATGTGGGTGTTAAATATGTGGCCTCACAATGCAGGTGTCTGCTCACACACATCTGATTGGTTTATTGGGGAATGAACTACATGAAGAAATATACAGTAGGGTTTAAATGAGTCCACTTGTGACAGTTTTTAATTCACTTTTTATTTAAAACTTTTTTTTCCATTATAAATGACATTACAGTAACGCATAGCAATAGGTGAAAATGTTGGATAGAATAGAATGGAATAGAATAGACAATAGCACACATTACACAAGTAAAACCTGATGATCTTTTTTGATCATTTGTTTTAGTCAGTGTTTTGATAATTTTGTCATGTCATATTCATTCATTTTAGTCATTTTCACTTAAAATTTTATTTAATTTTAGGCAATGCATTTGGGTGAGCTAATTAACCCACTTGTAAAGTGTTTACTGGTGTTCACTTAGTGTTCAGCTTCAGCTCTTACAGTTTATCTGCCAGCATTATTGATATTGATTAGGTTGAAACAACTGTTTTTTTTTTTTTGGTTTTATATTTCTTGTTATATGTTTGCCAACAGTATGTTTGAATTAAAATCATTTAATTACCGTCATGATGCACACTCTTCTTCGCAATTGTTGACGGAATGAAAAAACTCTTTGTAAAATTGAGATTATCATTGCCCTCCAGCCTGGTCTATGATCAGTATTCAGTAGATCTGCAGAATGAATGGAGTGGGAGCTAAGCCAATAGCACTTCATTTAAACCTGCTTATCTTGGCCTTGATGGCTATCTTGAGGAGAAAGAGGTGAAGAATAGGACTTTACTCAAAAGCTGATGATGCAAAGCTGTACCAAAAAAAGCTTATGTGAACCAGGGTCAAGTAGTTTAAAGTAGTGTTTACAGGAAGTTAATGAAATACTGCAGTATTGACTTCTCACTTTTATTACAGCGGTTTCATCATGGTTCTGGTTTGAGCTGGAATTGAAACGGGGTGTAGCTTAGTGGGATTTAAAACCAGAGAAACATTATGACGTAAACTGTTTAATAGGTATTTATGATTCTGCACTATTTCCAGGTCTCTACTCAGATACTTGTGATAGTCATGCGACTCTTTGTATAGATAGTCAGGCGTTCTTTTTCCATTAAAGCTCAAGATGATCTTTGAATCATCTGCAATCATGCTGGAGAACATTCATGTAAACTTAAGTTCAACTTTTCGCCAAATCCCTTTGTAGACAAAAAAAAACACTTTTCATGGAAAAAGCCGCTTTAAATTAGAAAAATGCCAATTTGAAGCTTTGTCACAAGTGGACTCTTGAACGCCTTTGTTATATTAGTATAGTTTTGGCTGACTCCTAGTCGACCAATCAGAAGTGTGTGGGACATTCTAGCCCACATGTCTTCTATACGAACACATATTTAATTTTAACGCTGCAGTCCGTAAGTTTTGCCTCTTTGTCGCCATCTCTGTTTGAAACCTGCAATTGCAGTTACTTACGGAATTATCTTCCTTGCGTGGGTTGCGCTCCGGCATGGCTCCAGCGCGGATGTTTTGAGGTGAATGTGTGGCTGTCAGTCACCCTACCGGTGTGGATACTGTTACTTAGGAATCACAGATTCTCGCCTACGTCTTGGAATATAACCCAAATAAGAATTTTCACCGGATATTCTCATCAGAACAAGTAAGTAACAAGTCTGCATTGTTTGTTCTGACCAACTGAGGGAAGAAAAGCATTACAATAAATTGCGCTACCAATGGTGATTTAATCTAACGATCGATTAGCTCATATCACATCAAACCGTGCAAATTATTATTATTGTTATACTTTGTTCTCAAATTGTTATTGTTAACAAAGTCTAATCTCTAATTGTCGTAACATTCGAATTTCATATTAAGATATTCTTTTAACCCAAAAAGCAAATTATGCTCCCTTCGAACTGGTTGTCTTTAAAATACAAATCTTGTGTAATCCCAGGCTATCTGTAACCAGATGCACATTTAAAACTGAAATAATTTAATTTCAGTCACATATGTGTTTCATAAACACTTAATCCTTAATGGATTACAATCCGCCATCAAAGTGATACATTTAATTATTCCAGCTGCTGTGAGATAAGGTTGTAAACGATCCGCCACCTGCAGGATCCTCACATGCGATAGCCTACTAGCCGGGACTCAATCTTTGTTTACAGACGTGACGTAATGACGCAGCAGCATGCTCGAATTTCCCACGAAAACCTACCCGTACCACTCAAATTAGAAAACATTATTATAAGCTAACCGTTGTGAATCGGGCTAAAGTAAGGCGATAGTTTTGAACACTGGCTGGTTATGCACTTGCTCAAATATTGATTTCGGATCATTTTTAACCAAAAAAGTTACGGACTGCAGCTTTAAACACATGAACAGGCCATTATTTGTTTTGCTTCCATTTCATTCCATCATAGTAATAAATAAAAGATGCATGAGTAAAGTCATATTATAAATGCTGTTCTCACCCTCCTTTGCCTAATATTAAGGATGGGGTTTCTGAAAGAGGTTTTCATTTTAGTAACAGACATACCCCTTTATCGATTCCCTCAACATACCTCATTCATCTCAAATGTATAATTAATACCTAACAGTCAACAGTGAAAAGGTTTACGCTTGCTGTAATGGAGACTAAGTGCATATAGAGATGATAGAGAGTGAACTGTACTCTGTATGGACGGTTTCTTTACATAGCGAGCTAATTTTTGCTTGTCCCCAGGGTTGCTACCACAAACCTAAATACATGGTCTTTTCTGGCAAATTACAACATTATGATACAAATTATGATGTTTAAGAGATTGAAAATAAAGTTCATAGATTAAGTATACTTACCCTGTCAGGACCGACTGTAGTGCTAGTAATCTACAGATCAGTTTTTAGACTTCAAAAGGCAATTTTGGAAATTAAACAAGACCATAATTGAGATCTGCACACGCATATTTTGTGTCTCTCCACTCTACGGTCATGATTAGATTTCATTCATAGTGAGTTTAGGAGGAAGTGAAATCTTGGTGGAACATTTGTTTCCCATCAAGCTTTTGGTGATTGCACACCGATGGGTTTGTTTCAGGAGGTGAGTAAATGTGAGGTCTCTTGGGTTTCATGCCACAGCTGCAGCTGTAGGTTATCTCAGTAGTGCATCAACTTTGTTGTTGTCTTGCTTTCCCCTGAGTCGTGAATACCCCTCTAAACTAGCCCTGTCTCCATAGTTACCCATCCTACATTCCTCTGGGGTAATGCAGTGCCACATTTGTGCGACGTTACCCCATTCCCAAGATGCATTTGGTGTAAAAACAAGCAGGGAGATGTGGGAGGAGAAACTTGCATCTTGTCCTGAGGGGATGGTGATATATAATGACATAATTTGTGCATCCAGTTGCCATTCTGTTTTACTCCCTTACCATGCATTTGTCAATTTAAAAAACTAGTTCAGCCAAAACTTAGTTTTATCATTACTTTTTTTTCCATTCATACAATGATGGTCAGTGGGGTCCATTGTTGTTTTGGACCCAACTGACTTTCATTATATGAACAAGAACAGAAAACATCCTTTCAAATCTGAAGAATATCATACAGGTATGCAATAAGTGATTAAATGATGACAGAATTTACATTTTTAGGTAAACTTTCCATTTAAATATCACTGCACACTCAGCACTGATGCCCTGGCTTTCCTAAAAGAGCCCGATGCTCCTAATTTTTAATATATGGATGAAAAGAACTGTTAGTTCTCTGTCAGACAGTTGTAGGGAGTGGAACAGTTACTAAATTAAAAACCTGGCCTGGGGGTTTAAAAATAAAGCAGACAAAATTATGGTCTGCCACTGTTTCCATGTTTCTGTTTCTCTGAGAGAGATGTGGTTTAAGAGGAGGATCGCTGAAGGGTGTGGAGGACGCATAGACCATAGAATAGCATAGTGCACAGGCCACTCGGCCAAACTGTATGCCCACAGGACTGTTTTTTTAGTGTGAGAATGATGGTTGAAGATCTTATTTTTTCACAAAATGTAGGACAAGAAATGCACCCAGATCTGTCAGAGCTAACACAGTTTGTAAACCCAGGGCCTCATGTCTCTGGAGGCAAATGGTTGGTTGGGCATCAGAGCTTCCAGAGCATCATGGGATTGAGACACAAGGGGGAACAGAGCGGACATGTGACGGATTGTGCTCTTCAAATGCTGCAGGCAGGATGCACAATTTTCTCTGAGTGTTTACAGAATTTAACTAGGTAAACAAAAAACTAAAATAGCTTTAAATGGGTCATATCATTAAAAAAAACAACTGTTCCTTCATTTAAAAAGAATTTAGTACGCTATTGAATTGTATACTGTATTTTTTAGAATGCAAAACTTCCTCCCTTCCAACAAAATTACCTGTTCAAAGATGGCTATTCTGTGTTTAGACAAGGGGGAACAGAGCGGACATGTGACGGATTGTGCTCTTCAAGTGCTGCAGGCAGGATGCACAATTTTCTCTGAGTGTTTACAGAATTTAACTAGGTAAACAAAAAACTAAAATAGCTTTAAATGGGTCATATCATTAAAAAAAACAACTGTTCCTTCATTTAAAAAGAATTTAGTACGCTATTGAATTGTATACTGTATTTTTTAGAATGCGAAACTTCCTCCCAACAAAATTACCTGTTCAAAGATGGCTATTCTGTGTTTAGAAACATAATAGGAAACATACTGTTATTCCTAGATGGACAAATGAAAAGAGTAAAATGTGGAAAAGCCTGTGCTGTTCTTGGCTGTGTGTAGCACCTACTGCTCTGCAGATCCTTCAGATGAGTCCCTGATAATTTCACTTTAACATGAACAGGTTGAGAGTCATATTTGATTATGTAAACCTGCCGCAGTGTAATTGCACAATGCATTTCTTAAAAAAAAAAGAAGAAGCTGGCATTAAAAAAGGGGCAGCACAAGCTATATTGGACCCAACAGCAAACCTTTAGCCCATGTGTAAGCACAGCAAGTTGCTTTCTCATTCCATATGCAAAAAGGGCATTTACACAGAACTCTTAAAGGCAGAGCAGGAAAAAATACCAGTGCAATGGTAAAGGTCAGAGACAAGGGGAAAGTGTGCATAAATGTATTACTGTTTTGATGCCAAAAATTGACTATGGATATTATGTACATTAAGTACCATGGCAGAAAAAAAATGAAGAATTAAAGCGTCAATGAAACTGAAGTATCAACAGCTCTTTTTGTGTGTATTGTGATATACAGTTGAGTGCATAATTATCAAAAAATTTTAATGAATAATAATTATCAAAAAAGAAAATATGTATGGCGGGGACTTAAATCCATCGGTTGTTTTTGGGCGTTGCACTCAAAATGTGTTGGCAGGTGAATGTATTGTAAAGGTACAGTGTTTGAATTTAAGTGAACTTTACTAAAACTGAAATAAAAATAAATTACAGCTAAATAGAAATATTAAATAAAACTAATAAAAATGACAAACAAGCAAACAAATAAACAAACAAACAAATAAATAAATAAAACATGCATGGAATCATCCACAACGAGATCAATAGCATTTAAAAAATTGTAAAATGCCAACTGTAAAAAAAAAAAAAAAAAAAAAAAAAAGCATTATATGAGCCATTTAAACCCACTGTGTTGCTCAAATCAGATTGAGTTTGTAAGTATGTGGGTGTTTGTGTGCATTTCACAGAGATTCCATTAGGACTTCAAACAAGACACAGGCAATCAGTTTTTGCTCTGTCTTCTTTTCATCATTGGCAGGGGCGTGATGTGATATCTAATAAAATGTTCAGTCTCTGCTCCATAGCCTCACATGTCTGCGTTGCAGCTGCTCCGAGGGTTTTCCTAGTGTGCACAGTGCTCTACACAACAATTCATTTAGACCTCACATAAGGCTTTGTGTGAGAGATGCCCTTCTCTGCTGATCATCAGCCAGCTCCTATTATGAACAAAACCAGATGATGTCAGCCTGAAAGGGCCATTTTATTTTCTTTGTCCTCAGCATCTGCTCTTACTCTGCGTACCGGCGAGTCTTGTAATGACAATAAACAGGGATGCTGAATACATGCACCTATAGCCTCCGACATCTAATGGATACAGGTTCACTAAAACCTCTATTGTGTTGTCTGTCAAATTCTGGCCTTTGATCATTTGAGCTTGCCTTTATGCAATATAAATATCCAACATGTGTGGCTTTCTTTCCTCTGTGGATGTTTTTTTTTTAAACTTTTTTTTTTTTTTTTTAAATGAAATTGGACCCCATCGACTTTCATTACATGGACAAAAACAAATGTTTTAAGCATATATTTTGTGTTCTGCAAAAGAACTGAAGTCATGCAGGTTTGGAGCAACATGAGGGCAAGTAAATATTTCAAAACCTAAACTAGGTATGTCAGAAAAGGAAAACATCCAAAATCTGAAATTCTGTGGCCCTTTACAATTGCAAACCACTTGTGACCGGTAATAGCATCGTGAAGCCAGCATGCCTAAAAAAAGAAACGAATATGTGTGTGAAAACACTTTACCACCAGAGTGCTGACATTTACCAACACCCCACTGTCCCCACTCACCGCCGTTGTGCTTCATTCCAAGACACAATTGGAAACGGCAAGAAAAGCGCAGAAAGAAGCTTTAGAAACGCATCACTGGAGATTTAGTGTGTAACAGTTGCAAAAAGATGATGTTGGGTGTATTGCAGTCATTGAACTCACACAGACACAAGAAACCCAGGGTTTGCGTCAGGGTCATTCTTGCCAAGTGCTTGTTTACATGTGCTTTCCTCCACCATTATCTCAGTGTCCTCACTGTCTCCACTCTCTGTGTCTCTAGGTACGTGGAGCGAAAGCACTTCCTAGAGCGAGTGGACCACCGGCAGTTTGAGTTGGAGAAGAGTGTGCGTCTGAGCAACATGAAACGGTGACACGAGGAGAGAGCAGATACATTCACTGATCAAAACACAGACTGTCTCATATTCACACACACCCTGCATACACTCTCAGTTGTCTTTGTCATATAGGTGGAATGGCCTGTAGCCCCCCCCCAAAACAAAAACTGGTCTGCCTTCACAATCTGAATGTACAGCTCCCATATTGTCTTTTCCTACTTCCGCTCTTCCTTTGTCCAATATTGCATGTCCACGTTTATCAGGGCTTCTTTAGTATGAAAGAGGAACAGCTCAAGATGTTTTTCTTCTCAAGGAATTCCTCAAAAACCTCATTTTATAATTCATTGAGGTACATCCTAACCATTCAGTAAGAGTGACATTAATGGGAAAGAAAACCTCATTAAGATGCACAGATTAAACTGACTTCTTTGTTCTGACAGTGAGGATTTTTTGTAAATGTAAACGCCCTATAGTGATGCTGTTTACACACAGGCATTTAGGTATATTCTTTTATTTGATGTTAAAATGAAAGTGCAGTTGTTTTTGTTTTTCCCATGCGTACTTACTACTGTCTTAAGAATTTATTTTGTTAAGAGTGGTTGTATGGTAATTACCCCGCCGTCATTTTAATCGTGTTTCACTGACAGAAATAAATCATGTCATTGAGTTTGGACACTTTCTTTTTAAATGAACCGTGTCTTGCTGTTAATTATTTTGACCTATTAATTACTTGCTCCACCTCTTATGGCTTTCTTCTTCCCCATCCCTCTTTGCTAGCTTATGCCCCCCTTGACAATTTAACTCCACCCCACCACTGTCTGTTTTTTTTAATTTTTTTTTATATCATCTAGGAAAGGGATCATCAGGGTTTAAGTCACGTATCTCTGAATCATTGTAGTAAGTCGTGCATGAATCCTTCCCCTTTTCAAGACTAATAATCTGCTAGATCTTTTTCTGACAATGAAAGTCCTGCAGTTGCAGAATTTCATCATTTAAAAAAAATGTGTGCCGCTTGACCATATAAAAGGTGTTTTGAGTGGTTTTTATTGCATTGCTAAGCAGTTGCAAGGGTGTTATGGTTGATTGCTCAACCCCAAAAGTGCATGCCTTAGTCTTTATGATATTCTCATCTCTTGATATGGCTTGGTGTCTTTTTTTTTTAATTCAATGTCTGAGATTTTTTCACTCATTTTATCATCCTCCAGGCAAAATGGTAAACCATATAGCATAGAAAAATAATAGCACACCTCTCTTGCATGATTTGAGGTATCATTTTTTTTTTTTGAAAGAAATTAATACTTTTATTCAGCAAGGATGCATTAAATTAATCAAAAGCAGCATTTAAAACATTAAAACATAATATGACAAAAACAATATGAGCAAAATCAATAAGTACCGTATTGTCCCGAATATAAGACGATATTTTTTTCTTGGAAATACATCTGAAAAAACACGGTCGTCTTATATTCGGGCTAATACGGTATATGTATTTCAGACTAAATCGCAGTACTGTTTGTTTTTGATGCGTCAATTCTCAATTTGTTATTTTTCCTGAAAAACCATGTTGGGTCTTTTGATAGCATGGGCGGTAACTTGTTCATCCTTTAACTTGAAGATAATGGTCTTGTTTCTATAATTCAATCTTCCCTCTCCCTGTGCGTAGGCCTGTGTGGGCACAAAGTTTGTTTACTGCCATTTCCTGCTGCTGGACTACCGTTTAGAAGGATGTTCGGTGTGTTCCACGCATCTCTCCAGATTTCTGTAATTGCTGACCCCCACAGCAGTCCCCTGCCTCACTGCTGCATTGCTTATTTCCCAAATGGAGATGAGTAGCTGTTCTGTGCTCTGATGTTGTCCTGTGCAAACATCAGACTCTGCAGGTGGGAATTTGAATGATACTGGCATAATTCCCTCACTTTATCAATGTTCTCAAAGCTGAGCACCGTGAGCTTTTTGTGTTTCACACCAATAAACTGGTACAGGCAGAAATAAATAAATGTGCCTACATGAGCATACAGAAACAATCAGATCAAAACGTACATGGCATTTGCAGGTACTCCATGCATAGCTGTACTCTTAATGAAACAGTACACCCCAAAATGAAAATTCTGTCATTTACCTACCCTCATGTTATTTCAAAACTGTGATTTTCTTTCTTCTGTGGAATATAAATGAAGATATTTTGAAGAATGTTGGTAGCCAAAAAACATGGACAAAACATAGACATGAGGGTGAGACATAATAACATATGTGACCCTGGACCACAAAACCAGACATAAGGGTCAGTTATTCGAAATTGAGATTTATACATCATCTGAAAGCTGAATAAATAAGCTTTCCATTGATGTATGGTTTGTTAGGATAGGACAACATTTGGCAGAGATACAACTATTTGAAAATCTGGAATCTGAGGGTGCAAAAAAATCAAAATATTGAGAAAATCACCTTTAAAGTTGTCCAAATGAAGTTCTTAGGAATGCATATTACTAATCAAAAAATACGTTTTTATATATTTACGGTAGGAATGGAACATGATGATTTTTGGCATAAAAGAAAAATTTATAATTTTGACCCATTCAGTGTATTTTTGGCTATTGCTACAAATATACGCGCGCTACTCAAGACTGGTTTTGTGGTCTAGGGTCACGTATGTCATAGTGACATGAGGGTGAGTAAATGATGACAAATTATTTGTTTTGGTCTCACTTATATATTAAGTGGCCTTAATTACTATGTACTTCAATTTAAACGAATCATTTGGTACAATGCACTTATTACATACATGTTTTTACATTGTACTTACATTTTAAAAAATACCTGCATATAATTCATTTCTGTGATTACATTTATAGTTACACTGTTGACCCATCCCTTACACCTTAACCCACCGTTAAACCTACCCATACCACCAAACCTGTCCCTAACCTTACCCGTATCCGACCTCACCATGCAGTACAATATGAACACCCCAAAAATGAAAATTGTCATTATTAACTCACTCCTGTCTTTTTCACTTTCTGTGTTCTGTGAAACCCAAAATGTACATTTTTGAGTTCTACCGGCCACTCTTTTCAGTATAATGAATGAGGATGCGAAAAAAAAAAAAAAAAAAAAAAAACCCTGATATTCACCTTGTGCTTCATGAGAGAATTCAGATTCATGAACGAGCCATCTTTTCAGTCAGATCTATCCAGTGAAATTGCGAACCAATGAATTCACAAAACCTGAGAGATTTGTTAGTTCTGTTGTTGCGTGTTTAATTCCATCTATGGACCCGTTTCATAGACTGTGATTACACGTTTCCACAGTTATTAACATCATAAATCTAGCAACGTTTTTTGTTTTCATTTTGAAACTTTTAATGTACATGTATAACGCTATACTTTGCTTTCTTACCTTGGCATTAAATTACATAAAACTATTTAACGCTACTGTGTGACTTTTTAAAATTTGACATCGTTGTCTCTTTTAATCATTCTCACCCCACACTTTTTTTTTTTTTTTTTGCTATTGGGGCAAATAAGAACAAAAAATAAACTTCTTGTAGTTTCTGTTCACTATAGAAGTTTATCCAACTTTGATGACTTCCACTTCTGAGAACCCCGGAAATGTGAAAAGGGTCCTTTTCCAATAGTTAACAGCTCATTGAATTATCAATGAGTGATGACTTAAATTTCAGTGTTTTCCTCACGCAAAGCTATTTTATGTTTGGCTTCAGAAGGCTGATGAGTTGCATCATCATATATTTTGTATACTTTTGTGTCCTTTTTGAAGCTTGAAAGTCTCCTGTTTAGACCAACGTGAGGGTATGATGACTGAATTTTCATTTTTGAGTGAAATAATCCTTTAAACATGCACGTAATGCATATCACCCTTTCCATGTGAAGGCATAGTGGGAGTATAGTGAGGTAGCCACACTCATTTTTATTCATGTCTTCCCCCGTCCACTCAAAGTTGATGGAGTGGAGAGGAGCCTATCGTCCTCATCTTTATTCAAATGCACCTGTCCTCTCCTGATTTTACTTTCTCTCTTGGGTCTGAACACTGCTGTTAGCTCCTAAATAATGCCTTCATCCCTTCTGTCACTTTTTCAATTTTTCCATCGCTTTCATCTTGCATTACACTTAGACATGTTGATGACACGAGTCTGATTTTCCCTTTGCAATTGTCTCTGCCATTATCATTAACTTTGACTTCCACTTCACAAGACTTTTTCCTTTCCTGTCATTTTATACTTGCATTTCCCCTCTCTATTTCCTCATCTTATTTCATTTCTTGGGTACATATCTTGAGCGATTTCAGAGTAGTATAACAAACTGTCAGTTATTAGAATGCGCTATGTAGAGTCAAACAAGCAGACCAAAATGGATCCAATCCAATGCATCCACATATCCAATACTGTGATGGAGGCATGGACCCTTAGCAGTGTCCTATATAAAAAGACCTTTCTGGAGCAACAGGGCCTTAGGTGTCCACTCGGAATTCCTGTAGCGTATATATATAGCACAAACTTCACCTCCAGGCATGTGTAGCTGTCTGTCACCAAGTGCATGACTTCAAACAGGGGCAGAAACCTTAAAAATAGACAGCGCTGTTGAGAGGACAATTATAAACAATCACTGTGATGAGAACCTAAAATAACAGCTGGCTAAAATGTTCCAAATGCCTCTTACCTCCAGGTCGCCAGAGTTAAGTGCAGCTTTAAAGCACTGCTGGGTATTTACTACTCCCTATGTGTAAGCTACAATAAAATGATTTCCTCCTACATTTTCAATGCATTGCCTGCTGAACTATATGGTTTGCCTTTAAGGTTAGTACACTTTTTTTTATGACCTTGATAAACATTCTTGTCTTTTTGGAATCTGCAGTATTAGCATTTTTCTGCAGTGGAATCTTGCAGAATGGAATTAAATGGGTTAAAAAGAGCTGAGACTACCACAGTGGTACCTGAAAGCATCATTAAATTACCCAAAATATTTATATGCGGAGGTGTCGGATGTACAGTATAGAACTTGATGAATGAGGGGCGTTCCAAATCTGCAGAGTTCTGCCCACACAGATTCTGTATACGGGCCGGCGCAGTGGCTAATATCCAATTGCAGACCACAAGAGAGTGTTGTTGTTGTTGTTGTTTTTTTCTTCATCTTTGCAGTAAATTCAGCCTTGTAACAGTGGACTGGTTTGGCAGCCCACCAAAAAGATTTTTTTTCCTTCTGAAGGTCTTCTTTCCTGTATTTTAGCCCTTTCAACATAGCCAATGTTGACAGATGAAGGGAGGGAGTGCCATGACACTAATTTAACAGACATTTGAAGATGAGAAGAGGACCTTTGACTTCTTTCACACAGCTGCACTGTATAATTAAAAGCTATTCACAGTGCTCATGGCATAGCTGTCAGTGAGTAAACTAATTGTCCTCCACAACACGTGCTGTTTGCTAAATAACACACAGTTTTTTCCTTAAAGGCCAAATATTTTGTTGGTATCAGCATCTTTTGCCCAATCGGTGTTATTAATGGTTTTTCTTTCAAAGTCAAATGCTAGAATGTTTGCAGCCAGTTTCATCATGTTAATGGGTAATTGCTACTTTTTATACTAAATATATACTATATATTTTTGTTGTCAAGGAGATTGTGTTTCTGCAGATATGGTGGTTTTCCGAACTATGTTCAGCAAATGCTTCAGGATGA